GAAATAACAAAATGCTGAAACAAGGATCCAGGATGATGCACTGCAACAGTGATACTTACAAGACATTATGTTGGGAATGAACTTTACAACTTGGGGAAGAGGGGAGGAGTGGGGGAAGGGGAGGACTGAAGAGATCGTAGGAGAAAAACAGAGGAGGGGTAACAATAATCGACAGGAAGTGTGCTCATTACCTTACTCATGTAACTGTAACCTCTCTGTACAGCATCTTTACAAGAAAATAAACTCTAAAAAAAATAATGAGAGGTGTGTTGGTGCACACCTGTGATCCCAGCACTTGGAGGATGCGGAATTCCATGCCAGCCTGGCCTACATAGTGAGACCTTGTCTCAAAAATGTATGAAATAATGATAATTTCATGAAGTTATGCAGTACCGGCAGAGGATTAAGCACTAAATAAGACCATGTGTAACGTGTATGTAAGCTGTGGTAGCCACAAAAGCTGAATAATAAAAGACTCAATGGCTCATATCAGTGATCTTTATGAAGGCAAATAGCCCACAGGTTCAAGCTAACTGCTCTCTACCATCCAGTGGCTGTCACCCTCTGGAGGGTCTTGGGTCTTGCTCTAACTCAGGCCAGCCCTCTCATAAGCCACCATTCTGTGACTACCACCCAGGGGAAGGTCTTCCTGTTTCAAACAAACCAATCACAATCTGACAAATGGTATAAAGGGAAGAGGAAAAGGCCAGAGGGACAATAAAAACATAGGTCCCAGTCTACATGGTAGACAGCTGGTTTCCATATCCCTCTGAGCATTCTTCTGAGTGGCCTTTACTTTCTCTTTGTTAAATAAACTCTTTGCTACCTTACTGTAACTGTGTTTGCTGTTCCTGGGTGTATTTCTATACTGCCACAGAACAAGGACCCACCATGCTTGTGTATCACTTTCTGCAGAGATGAAGAGGACCACAATTCTAGGCCACACCAAGCAAAAACTTTGTAAGACCACATCTCAACAAATAAGCCATGTCCGGTTGTTATGCACCTGTCATCTCAGCTGCATGGAAGATCATAGGTAGGAGGGCTGTGGTCCAGGCTGGACACTGGACAAAAATGTGAAACCTTATCTAAAAACTAACCTACAGCAAAGAATAGCAGACAGAAAGAGAGAGGGGCTGGAGGCATAGCTAATTATACAGTGTTTGTCTAGCAAGTGTTTGCCCAAGTTTTCCTTCCTATTGAACAAGGATAATTCTAGTATGAGGAAAGTCATCATTTTTTCCCATCAAAATATGCTACTTCTTTTTGTCTATCATGTGAGAATTGTTTTTCTGAAAAGATCCTGCTTTGGCCAGGCAGTTGTCCTTGGTTGATTGTATTCTAGTTATATTTTATACTTGTTGCACTTGAATTAAGAAATCCTGTTACAAGCTCATTGAATCTTAAGTTATATCCTTTTCCTGTTAATTAAGCCACATCCTTTTCAACTCAGGTTCAAAATCTGATGCCCACTGCATTAGGGATAAAACAGTGCTTGCTTGCTGGATTTTGGCTGATAATGCACACTTCTGCAGAAGTAAACTTTACCTTGATGCATTGATATCTTTTTTCCTATTTGACACCCCAACATCCAGAGGCATAGGTAACACTAGTATGACCAAAAACAAAAGATTCTAGCTGAACACTAGTGGCTCATATCTTTACTTCTAGCTACTTAGGAGGCTGAGATTTGAGGATGGTGGTTTAAAGCCAGCCTGGGCAGAAAAATCTTCTAGACTCCATCTCCAAAATAACCAGTGAAGGGACTGGAGGTATGGCCCAAGATGGTAGAGTTTCAGATGAGCAGACAGGTTATCCTGAGTTAAAACCCCAGTACCACCAACAAGGAAAAAAGTCTATATTTGAGACTGATTTGTTGTAAGTGTTAACCGAAATGTTTATTTAGACAAACTTAATCTCTTGGTATTTTCCTGCAATTTTGTTCTAAAGATTCATGCTTGTGCAAACAAAATCAAGTGCGTTATCTCTCAGTGTGAAATTATGTGGTCAAAACCACCAGCCAAGTTGTGCCCCATTTTCCTTTTCATTTTGTTTTTCAAGAAATTATGTGTGCAAGTATAGGGGGCTCTAGAGAATAATAATAACAACAACAATAATAGTTACTAATAAACCACAGGATCCTGGTCATATAGTATCTGTGTTTTACACAGCTTCCTGTGGATGAGCTCCATGTCCTAATAAGAATTCTATGTGGTGAAGAAAAGAAAATGTGTGTTCATTTCGTAGGTAGACACGTTAAAAAATAATAACATTTAGGTGATATCTAGCTTCACAGTTAAGGATGAAATTCAGGTTTTTACTAGAACCTGAACAGAGGCTTGTGTAAATTGAGTTTTCTTATTTGTGATGGTCCTGAGGACTAAACTCAGGGCTTGGAGGCTGACCCTGAGTTTTTTGGTTCAGGACTAGCCCTCTACCACTTAAGCCATAGATCTATTTCGGGTTTTTTTTTTTTTTTTTTAATTTTGATGGTTAATTGGAGTTGAGTCTCATGGAATTTACTGACCAGGCTAGTTTTGAAAAGCAATTGTCAGATTTCAGCCTTCTGAAGAACTAGGACTACAAGCATAAGCTATTAATTTTGGGGATCCAATTGGCTCAAGGTGTAGAGTATCAGTTTAGCTAGTAGGCCCTGACTTCAAACCCCAGTACTATGTGCGAATGTGTGAGAGAGAAAGAGAAAGAGAATGAAAGAGAGAAAAAGGAGAAGAAAAGAGAGAAAGGAGGACAAAGAAAGAGGGCACAAGAATAGGAATAAAGAAGTAATGTCAGATCCGATTTTAAATGTCACAAATATATATGAACTTAGGTAAAGTATCTCTTAAGTCTCTGGGTCTACTGTCTTTTGATGGGCTGTAGACTTCATAGTCTACATCAAAATATTATTATGAGTTTGAAATGAAATATAAATGAAAATTCTCCAACAGACCAGGCATTTTATTTTACCTTGTTTTACTTTTACTTTTGTGTGTGTGTGTGTGTGCGTGTGTGTGCACGTGCACATGCCCACACATACATGCTAGTAACTGGGAATTAAACTCAGGGCCTGGGCTCTGTCCCTCAGCTTTCTTTTTTTCTTTTTTTGCTCAAGGCTGTCACTGTACCACTTGAGCCACAACTCTGCTTCTGAGACCAGATATTTTAATGTATTTTCCTTCCTTATTTCAGAGTCATCATTTTTATGTAATAAATTACATGAAATTGCTTGCAACTATAAGAGACAACTTATTGGTAGCTGTCCCTGTCAATTACTTGGCTTAAAAAAAAACCTGAAATCATCATAACTCATACTTCTGTTTTGAACTTAGCCCAAGGAACTGGGGTGGCTAGAAATGAGGATAAGTGATATTAAGAGATCACAGCAGAATTTTAATGACAGTTTGTCATCTGCTGAAAATCTTTTCCCCAAAATAGATCACTGAAGTTTGGCATGGCATAATCAAAATAAATGAACTCAAGAGTCTACAAAGGGAAAAAATCTTTTTGAAAGGCAAGGAAATAAAAAAGAGCTAGTATTAGAATAACATTTTGCCTTAGAAACATAGAAGAAAAGGGAAAAAGAGGAAAGCATTTCTTGCAGTGAAAGCTAATTAAATGACTTGGTGTTAGTGTATAAATTTAAGCCTGATTTAGAAGAACAGTCTACATTGAGGTATAATTTTTTTTTAAGGGCAGGTTGATGGTGACACTGTCAAAAAATAAAATTAAAACCAGGCAAGGTGGCTCATGCCTGTAATCCTAGCTATTTAGGAGGATGAGATTTGAGGATTGAGGTATAAAGCCAACTCAGGCAGGAAAATCCATGAGACTCTCATCTCCAATTAATCCAAAAAAGCCAAAAGGGTAGCTGTGGCTCAAGTGGTAGACTATTAGTGAGGAGAAAAAAGCTCAAGGATAGTGCCCAAGCCTTGAGTTCAAGTCGCAGGATTGGCACACACACACACACACACACACACACACACACACACACACACATTAAAAACCTAAACTAAAAACCAAGAAACCAAACAATTATTTCTTGGAGATACTGTGACTTTGCAAGTGACCCATATTGGAAGCATCCTTCTGTCACCTTTCCCTGCCCACACCCCTGGTCCATGCAGGCATTCAAGTATAAATATCTCTGACAGATGCATAAAATTGTAAAAGTTCTAAATCATGGCACCTGCTCAATCCAGGGTCTGCCTGGCTACGATTCTGAATTACATTTAAGTGTATCTTCTAAATACCATTTCCTTTCAATAAGTCTTTGGTGAAATATGCAATGATGTCTATTCTCTGCATGCATTAATTATGCCAAAATATCTGGAACATTCCTGTTTCCTTTCCTGGTTTCCCAGGAAAGTTAAATATACACATGTGAATTACATGTGCACAGAAATATGCTTTCTTATAGGAATCACTGAAGAGCACTTACTTCCAAGTAAATCCCACTATATATTAAAGTGACCACTGTATTTAGAGACTGTTTTTATTTTCATTTTTGGTACTAGTAGTGGGGCTTGAATTCAAGATCTTGAACTCTTGCTTTACTTTTTCACTCCAGGCTTGACACTCTATCACTTGAGCCACACCTCCACTTACAGCTTTGGGACTGTTAACTGAAGATAAGATTCTCTCCGAGGGGCTGGAAAAGTGGCTCAGTGGTAGAGCGCTTGCCTTGCATGCTTGAAGTCCTGGGTTCGATTCCTCAGCATCACATAAGCAGAAAAAAAAAGCCGGAAGTGGCGCTGTGGCTCAAGTGGTAGAGTGCTAGCCTTGAGCTGAAGAGCTGAGAGACAGCACCCAGACCCAGAGTTCAGGCCCACGACCGGACCCCCCCAACACACACACACAAAAAAAGATTCTCTCTGATTGATCTGCCTGGGCTGATTTGAATCAGTATCCTCAGCTCTCAGCCTCCTAGGTAACTAGGATTATAGGAATGAGCCATCATGTATCTAGAAGCCTTTTAAAGTACAAAGTGCTCTTGTACATACCAGCACCATCTGTTTTAATTCTGTTTGATGGTAAACTGGGCTCTCCCATGCCCAATGTATTGGTTGCTACCACACGAAATTCATACTCCATCCATGGGATTAAATCCACTGCTTTTGCGGCCTCCATGTTTCCTTCAATAATTGGGGGATCTAAATAAAATAAACATTACATGTAAGTCATTGAATAGTTGATCATTTTCATAATCTCTTAATCTCATGTTCTTCCTTTAGAGCAAAGGATGCATAGATCTTAGAGTATAAATAGCATCTAGGAAAGACAAAATGTTAAGTTCAAAAGAGTAAAAAGAGAGATCATTAATAAGCAATAGACTAGTAAGAGAAGCATGTATATAATCCACCTTTTATTTATAAAGCCCGAGGTGCAAAGAATGAAATTTAGCATTCCTAAATGCTCTTAGGTCATGCCTTTGCTACCAGCCCAAGGGTACACCAGCAGCATAGAGTTATATTTTATATATCTTGGTGGTAGACCTTAGGAAGATATCCTGATTACCCCTTCCACATATCTGCCACACACACACACACACACACACACACACACAGAGGAGGGGAAATTTTATGAACTGCCACTAGAGTAGTCCATGAGTAGCAGATGACTTATTACTAGGGTACAAAAGGGTAACATACAGAACTTTTTTTTAGCTGGGTTTGTAGATTTAGACTACATCATCTAGAGAAATGATAATAAATGCTATAATGGGCTGGGCACTGGTAGATCACACCTGTAATCCTACCTACTCACCAGGCTGAGATCTGAGGATCACAGTTCAAAGCTAACTAACCAGCAAAAAGCAAAAAAGTGGAGCTGTGGCTCAAGTGGTACAGCACTAGCCTTGAGTATGAAAATGCTAAGGGACAGTGCCCAGGCTCTGAGTTCAAGCTCTAGTACTACCATGTACACACACACACACACACACACACACACACATACACTCACAGAGGCATATAAATACAATAATAGAATTCACAGCATTGGATAATAATGAATAATTCCAAGTTACAGTATTACAGTTAGGATATGCTCTTACCTGGCTTATACAACCATGAAAGGTCTCTACCTTACTGTAAATCCTGCATATTTTTAATTATTAACTTGTAAATACATAGCCGTGTAAATACTTGCCACACTACTTATTTGGAAAACTTATTCCTTTGGGCTTGTCTATGATTCATTATGTTAATATTTAGGGAATTTTTTATCTGGTTATGCAAATCATGAATATCCAATTTTAAAAGATGTTTACTCATTCCAATAATAAATGCAAAGCATTTCAGGGCCCCGTTTTCTACTTTTAGACACATTCCCTGATAGCTTAGATCATTCTCATCCTGCTCTGAGTTTTACTCTTCTGGACTCTAATTGTACGTCTTTCTATTCTTTTTTTTTTAAATGGTTTTGTTCTATACAACTGACATGTATTTTTTATTAAAAATTTGATGTCATCTTCCCCTTGATTTTCACTCTGCCTCATTATCTCTTATCTCTTCCACCCTTTCCCTCACACAAAAATCAGAGTCTGAATTTAGTTCATACAAAGGGGAACTTCCCTTTTAAGTAAATGGAATAATGAATGTTAAATTGTGGATCTTTATCCAGTCACATGGAGGAAAGGAGAAACATATCACCATATCTGATGGTTGTGCCTCTAAGTATGGTACCTTCCCATCCCCACCCCAGTGTATACTTTTTAACAAAACTGAGCCCTGTATGGAATCAAGGGTGACAATAAACTGATGTAGTCAGACAGAGAACATCTGGAGTCACCAGAAACTAGCATTGGCTAGATTTATATAAACTTGTAGAAATTTGTTCCAGTAGCCCTAGGAAACCAATGCAGAGGCTTAAAAGAAGGAACTGATAAGAACGATCTGTCACTTGGTAGGTTGGAGGGTCTGAGTAAGAGGGTTTTATAGAAGTCTCAAAGATGCAGTAGGATCCTTTTTCCTGTTTCCTGTGCTGCAAAACTTCAGTACCATTTAAGCACTTGAAGAAAGGACATGCTGGAAGCACTCCAAATAACACATCTTGGCAAAGATCTGGGGTTCTCTTGGTGGCCAAGGCCCCATTGGGACTCTTCCAAGCAGCTGAACAGCTAGCATGTGTGAGCATGTATCACTGGGTTGGGACAGAAAGAACCAGCTGTGGAACAGGGGACTGTAGGTGACAGACTGAATTCAGGCATGTGAGAGGATCCCATATGAAAATATCAGAGAACTCATCAGTGATCTGGTTATATTATGAATAGAAAAATCATACTTGGCCACTGGGAATGGGAGATAAGACAGGAGAGGTCAACTACAATCACTTTAGGTTAGGAGTTGTACTTCCAGTAAGAACTTGGGCTTTAAGTTTAATGACTGAGATGAAGAAAGGAAGAAAATTAAGCAAAGAGCCTTGGGAATTACTAGCTTGAGAAGACAGACCCAAGTGAGAAACTTTAGGCCCAGAAATGCATATCAAGAAATCAGTCCCTTCATGAGCTTTCTTTTACTTTTACCAGAGTGGAGTTAATACCAAAACAACAACAACAACAACTTTGTTCATAATTTTTAAAAAAAGAAAAAAAATGAACTTCCAGAATGTACCTTCTAAATGAGTAAAGAAAGAATTATAAATGTATAAAGTAATACTATTTCCTATCAGGTTTGCTAATAGCATAAAATCTGCTTTGTTTCAAGCAAAACCAATCTTACTCACTCTTTTTTATGTTAGCATCAGTGCTATGAAATCATAAATATATAAGACAAACATGCTTTGGGAGATAGTAATACCTCTCACTAAAACCATCTGTTTAAGAATTACAAATAGCTTATCAAACTGATCACTGGTGGCTCACGCTTGTAATCTTGGTTATTCAGGAGGCTGAGATCTGAAGATTGCACTTTGAAGCCAGTCTGAACAGAAAAAAGTCTGTGAGACTCTGTTGTTGTTGTTGGTCATGGGGCTTGAACTCTGGGCCTAAACACTGTCCCTCAGCACTTCAGCTCAAGGCCAGTGCTCTACCACTTGAGCCACTGTGCCACTTCTGGTTTTCTGAGTCATTTATTAGAGATAAGAATCTCACGGCTTTTCCTTTGAACCAAGGCTGGCTTTGAACCATGATCCTCAGATCTCAGCCTCCTGAGTAGTTAGGATTATAGGCATGAGCCATTGGCACTCGGCACTGTGAGACTCTTATTTCCAATAAACTACCAAAAAAAGCTGGAAGCTTTTTTTGTGGCTCAAGTGGTGGAGCACTAGCTTTGAGCAATAAAGCTAAGGACAGCTCCCAGACCCTGTGTTTAAACCCTAGGATGGGCACCAAAAAAAAAAGATAATAAAAAAAAAAGAAATAGCTGAGCAAAAACCAACTAACAGGTAATATGTGTGTCTATCTACCTATCTATCTATCTATCTAATTAAATGTGATTCTTCTACCTATTTAATTGTAAAAGGGTGTTTCTGTGTGTGTGTGTGTATGTCAGAGGGAGGTGTACTGGTACTGGGGCTTGAACTCAGGGCTGGACATTGACTTTTTTGCTCACAGCTGGTACTCAACCACTTAAGTGAGAGTTCCACCTCCAGTCTTTTTTTAAAATATATATTTTTATTGTAAAGATACTGTACAGAGGGGTTGCAGTTACATGAGAAAGGTAATGAGTACATTTCCTATTGAGCATTGTTACCCCTTCCTTTGTTTTTCCCCTACCATCACTTCCCTCCCCACATCCCCAACCTCTACCCCACCTCCCCCTGCGCCTGAAGTTGTCTGTATTCCTATTTAACATTTTGGTTTTTTTCCTTCCACTCCCCAAATTAGAAAAAATGTATATACAAGATGCAGGACACTGGAATCAAGTACAGTGAAAACAGGGGTTATACCTTGGGGAGGAACATAGAAAAGAAACAAAAAAAATCACATAGTAAATTATAAATACAAAGCCGGGCGCTGGTGGCTCACGCCTGTAATCCTAGCTACTCGGGAGGCTGAGATCTGAGGATCTCGGTTCAAAGCCAGCCCAGGCAGGAAAGACCGTGAGACTCCTATCTCCAATAAGCCACTAGAAAACCAGTGATACTGTAGCTCAAGTGGTAGGGTACTAGCCTTGGGTTCGTTTCACTTAACATCATCTTATATGGTCATATGTAGCTTTGAGCTTTTCTGCTTGTTCTAGATATATACTAGTTATTGCAAATAAGGGAAACCATGGGACCTATGTTTCTTTGGGCCTGGCTTACTTGACTTAATATAATTTTTTCCAAGTCTTTCCATTTCCTAACATATGGGGTGGTGTCATTATTTCTAATGGAGGCATAGAATTCCATTGTGTGTGTGTGTGTGTGTGTGTGTGTGTGTGTCACATTTTCTTGATGCATTCATCTACTGAGGGGCATCTGGATTGGTTCCATATCTAGCTATGGTAAATAATGCGATAAACATAGTTGTGCTGGTAGCTTTAGTATGGTCTTGTTTGTGATTATTTGGGTAAATGCCCAAAAGTGGGATTGCTGGATCATAGGGGAGCTCTAGGTGGAGTTTTTGGAGGAACCTCCATTCTGCTTTCTAAAGTGGTTGAACAAGTTTACATTCCCACCAACAATGTAGTAAGGTTCCCTTCTGTCCACGTCCCCTCCAGCATCTGTTGTTGTTAGATTTCTTGATTATAGCTATTCTAACTGAGGTGAGGTGGAATCTCAATGTTGTTTTGATTTGCATTTCTTTTATGGCTAGAGAGGTTGAGCATTTCTTCATGTGTCTATTGGCCATTCTTATTTCCTCTTCAGAGAAGTTTCTCTTTAAGCCTTTACCTACTTATTAATCCGGCAGTTGTTTCTTTGCATATTTGTTGTTGGGGGATTTAATTTTTTGAGTTCTAAGTATATTTTAGATATGAGACCTTTGTCCATTGTATGGCTAGTGAAGATCTTCTCCCAATCCGTGGGCTTTCTATTGATCTTGCTGGCTATGTCCTTCGCCATGCAGAAGCTCTGCAATTTCAGGCAATCCTATTCGTCCAACCTTTCTTTGATTTGTTGTGTTTCTGGGTCTCTATAAGAAAATTGTGGCCTGTGCCAAGGAGCCCTAGAGTTTCTCCTATTCCATCCTGTAATGTTTTCAGACTGTCTGCTTTGACTTCACACCTCCAGT